CTTATCGAAGATTAGATGGCTATAGGTCTGTAGGTTCATTTCTGGGTTTTCAATTCTATTCCATTGGTCCTGAGGTCTGTTCTTATGCCAATACCAAGCTGTTTTGATTACTATGGCTTTATAGTAGAGTTTGAAGTTTGGTATTGATATTCCTCCAGCAGTGTTCTTTCCATTCAGGAGCATTTTTGCTATTCGGGGTCTTTTATTGTTCCATATGAATTTTTGGATTGCCTCTTCTATTTCCTTGAAGAATGAGGTTGGAATTTGGATAGGTATTGCGTTGAATTTGTAGATAGCCTTGGGAAGTATTGCCATTTTCACGATGTTAATCTTTCCAATCCAGGAGCATGGGAGGTTTTGCCATTTTTTTCCTAGTATAATATCTTAATATTACCTCTGATATTTGTTTGGAGCTGACAGTAAAGCTCTAAGGTCATCTTGACCCCTGTGCTCAGTTGATGGCACATACAAGAAGCTGGCTTACTTAAAAAACACCAGGTGCCTGGGATTGCTTTGCTATGTCTGCAGAGTTTGTTTTACTTTCTACCAGTTGACCTTGTCTTGTTTTACTGCACTTTGTTTTTACTGAATTTTTCCTTGTTTTTCTGGACTATTGTAACCTTATGTTACCTCTTGACTTCTAATACTATATATTAGGGAAAGTTAAAAATAAATGGTGCTGCAGTCTTGAGCTGCAGACGTCCCAACCCCATCCTTTGTCTTATGTGTTTATTTTTCTGGATCCTCGCCCCCTAATTCAGGATTGCCTTTCGTTGCCGGCAGGCTCCCGCAAGTGGAACCCGATCAGGGACCTGAAACCTGGGATCAAGGCAGAGGACCCCGCTAAGGTAAGAGGACGGGTCTGGAAAAAGAGAGTGGGTAAAAGTACAGTTGGGAATAAGAAATTATGGGGCAAAGTAAGAGCTGCACGTTATTTGCAGGCTCTTAAGGGCATGCTTCAAGCTCGAGACGTGAAAGTTGGACAGAGTCAGTTGGAGAATTTCTTTCACTTTGTCAAGGAAGTATGCCACTAGTTCCCGGAGTAAGGAAACATTAGTTTAGTAACTTAACAAAAAAAAAAAAAAAAGGAAAAAAGGATTCAGGGACACTATGATGCAAATGGCCTGTAAGTTAAAACTTTGCTGCTTTGTGATTGTCTGGTATCTATGTAGCCCACAGGTTCTGTATTGGGATTGGCAAAAGTCTTGGAAGACACGCTATGAGATAGCCAACTGGGCTGGTGGGAGACGTCCCCCTGATCCCCATCAGGGTAAACTATCTACTGGTGCGGACATTTGGGCCTGTCTATTGTTCGGCACTTTCTGTCTGACAGTCTACAATGCACATGTTGTAAATGTGTTTTGTCTCAATGTTTGTGTGTATGTATTTTGGAATTCTTGGAATGTTTCTTCTCTCAGATTCATTCTGATGCAAGAGTCTGGAGGAGGCTGGCTAACACCAACTTTTAATATCTGTCTCTGTCTAGCTCCTTCTTTTTTACTTACACTTTAAACTGAGCCCCCTTTCTACCCTTCACTGCCACCTCCTCCACCCTCTCTGGATCCAAAAATAGGGGAGCGGTGGGGGGTGAAAAACCTGGAGGAGCTAACAATAACTTAAAAGGGCCTGCAGGGAGAACTTGCAGCCGTATGAAAATGCCACTGACTACCAGCAAGTGACACCAGCAAGATCTTAGCCTCGGGCCTTGGCTCAGGGGATCTGAGAAATGGGGAGAACCTGTCAGTCTGAGCGGATGGCCACTAGGGACTTCTTTCCCTTGCCCTAAGATGACTGGGAATTCTCCACCTTGGAAGGCCCCTGGATCAATGTTTGCAGGAATCTGAAAGAAAAATCCTCTGGAGGTGTGGAGAGGAAGTTCGCATCCCCTAGTAAGTGGATTTGAGTCCCACTTGTAAATGGTGGTAAGATGTTGCCCCATTCACTGAGACCTGATTTTGTCTTTGTGGCCACTTGTTTGTCTTGTTTACTTCGGTGTGTTTTCTGTTCTATGTTTTCTGAGGTAGGGATAAACTGGGGGCCCATTAGCCCCCAACTCAGCCTTTGGTTGTTGTCTTGTCTAGTTCTGTTTTAGAATTGGTACCAGTTTTAAATGTATATACAACTGATTTTAATTTTTGCACGCTTTAAGATCTGTGTGTGGTTTGTATGTTTGTGAACATGTTCAAGATAGAAATTATCAATGTGCTGTAACAATTGGGTAAGTTTGTTTAAAATTTAAAAGGTTATGAAGTTTGGACATTACCAAAAATTTTAAAGAATTTTCACATTGTTTTAAATGACCTTTTATGGATTCTTTAACTTAAAAAATAAAAAAAAATCTGGTATGTTAAAATGCATAAAGCTGTTTACACTGTAATCAAGTTATCTTGCTTAACAAAAATGCATTGGCTGTTTGGAATATAGTTCTCTTGGCTAAAATTTGGGGATAAATATTAGAAGTTTAAATATAAAATTTTGTTTAACACTGTGAAAGACATTACCTGTTCTGTCTGTCTAAACTGTGTATTTTCATTAAAAAACCAAGAGATAAGAAAAGGAAAAAAACTTAAAAGCCAACAAATGACCTATCTTTAGGCACAAGGCTTAAACTCACAAAAGTGTAGTTCAGCTGGTCATACATGGTGGGACAGCCATGGAAGGAGTCCACGCATGGTGAAAGAGGACCAGCTGGCACAAACTCAGTTCATCTAACTCTGAAGAGTAAGATTAGGTGCGTGCCCATTCCATAGGATGGGCAAAGTGGCCCATCTTTGTTTTATCCTTTTTCTCTACAGATAAATACTAGAAACATGATAGTAAAAATTAGTGATGTGATGGTCTGATTAGTATTGCTAAAACTGCCCCTTGGACTTAAAAAGAGGGTTAAAAATGTATTTGTATAATGTGACTTGGTTTGATGTTCTACAATTAGGATATGTTTTTAAAAGTCATAAAGGTGTTAAGTCTAGCTGTTTGGTACAGGGATGGTGATTGTAATTCTTCAATTAAGGAAAAATTGTCATTTTAGTTTAAAAGTTTTAATATGTACTGGTTTTAAGACAAGCAGCCAAGGGACAATGAGTGACACTTGACCTTGAGATTTTAAGGGATTTTTTTAATGTAATTAAAAACGAAAATATAAAATAATAAAAGAGATTAATAGGAGGCTTAAAAACTTAGGAATGGATTTCTGGATATAAAGTTTAAAAGTATAATTGTTCTTAACATTTGCCTCAAAGTGGAAAAATTAGGATTACCAAAATAATTGCTTAATTGCTATTCCAGTTTGCTCTTATAGGTTTTTTAAGTTTCCAACAAGCCCAGAGCAAAACACAGAGGATTCTTACAGGTTTGTCAGATGTAACTTTGGCTCTTAATAAGTTTCAGGTAAGAGCATGCTTAAAAGCTACTTCTATGTTGACCACCTTGTTGCTTTTAATTGGAGTAAAGTGGCCTTTTATAAAACTCGTTGATCTGCAAACTGGTTCAAAGCCAGCCCGGGCAGAAAAAGGTCCTTGTGAGACTGTCACCTCTACTCATCCAGCAGAGTGCTGAAAGAGCAAGCAGAGTTGCTTTGGGACTCATAGTGGCAGAGTGCTAGCCTTGAGTTGTAGAGCTTAGAAACAGCACTCAGGCCCGAGTTCATGTCCAGCAACCAGCTAAGGAAAATACAGATAAAACATTTATCCCAGTGTAGAGAGGACATTCCAGGGACAAGAGCAATGGAAGAGCATCCAGAGACAGTAAGCCACTGCTTGGATGACAGTAATGTCAGATCCTAGAGTCATTTGTGCATGGCCCTTCAAAAATTGGTCAGAGCCAGGAGGTCATGGAAAGATAGTTTGTAAGCATGCCTAATATCCATGACTATCTACTTTGTAGGGACAGAAACTTGTGATAGTACTAAAAAGCTAAAGTTATAAAATGTGGAGGATGGTTTAAATCCCAACCGCCGTATGTACCAAAAGCCCTAATTGGAAATAACATTTGAGCTAACATCAGCTACATAAAATTCATCTGGTCAAGAAAAAGTTTGTAAAGCTAAGAGTGTGTTTCTATTAAAATCTGTCTAAGGCCTGCACAGGTGACTTAGGCATTGTTAGGGTCACTAGAGGTCACATTCCTAAAGATGCTTTTACAAACCAGAGTGCTAAACAAGCTACACTGCTGTAGCAGAAAAAAAAACTCTGTGCATTTGCCAAAATTTAAAATAATGTTCTTAATGACATCTAAAACTGGTAACCTCTTTGTAAAATAGACTAAGTTTGTAAGTTCCTGGGTAGGTAGGATCAACACTCCTGAGTGAGCTTGAAGAAGTTATAGAAGATGAATCTTCACCCATCATCCCCTTTTTTGAACAAGGGACAAAATTCATTAAAAAAATGTGACAAAATTGACAAAAAAAAGACGTGAAAAATAGTAGTACAGTCCTCAGCCCTCTATCTGCCTAAAAAGTCAGCCTTAGTCAGATTAGGTTACTGTCAGGTGATTACTACTCAAAGTACTTTTGCAAATGTGAAACTATCTGGATTTAGGAGAAGGTAAATGGGGAGGATGAAGCAGATGGAGGAGAGGCACACAATGCTGAACAGTACATACATAAAGCTGTGCATTCAGTACATGATTTTGGTTACATTTTAACAACATGGTTATTTTCTTGTATATCTTACTAAGTAAGTGTGTAGTAAAAGACTAAGCCTATATATCAAAGCAAATTTAATAAAACATTCATGTTCAAGTTTCATAAATATATGCAATTCTAATTACAAAGTCCTCACAATACAGCTGCACATTTTCTTAGACTAACATAATACACAGACTCATGGAAGTCTCCTGTTAAGTAGTTACTTTCGCCTAGATTTGAAGTTATTTTAATAAACATTCAGTGAAGCCACATACAAGGGTACTGTCACATTTGGAATGTACCCAAGTTTTAAAGGGGAGAGAGAGGGAGGGAGAGAGAAGCAGCAATTCCGTAAATGAGAAGGGAACTCAATCCCTTACTTTCTTTTGCTTTTTGCATCAGTTTTTTGGAAAAAACTAGAAGCAGACATGAGGTTTTCTATATATTGTCCAAGAACTTGGTTTTCTGATTTTAGCTTTAGGTTTTCTTCCTTAACTGTATCTACTCTTGCTGAGAGATCTTCAAGTGTGTGTTGGAGTTTCAGCACTTGATTAATAAGTCGTGATTTTTCCTCCAGTTCCATCTGATTTTCAGCATCAACATCAATGTCAGTGTTCATCATCCTGGGCACTGAACTGTGCCTCGGACAGAAAAATCCTGATGAAGGGTCGTCAGAGGCACCAGGAGGGGCGGGATCCCAAGATCACGCCTCTGGCCTGGGACTCCAGCACTGACTGACCAGGCTCCATCTTCTTTATGCATTCATCCACAGTTGGGCCTTTGACTCCACTGCTCTGAACCTGGCTGACTTTGCTCCACACGACCATGTCCAGTGTCACTCATTTCTCTGCTGATACTATGAAGCTTCTGGGTTGTTTCTTGGTTTTGGCGAATAGTGCCGCAATGGTTATGGTGTTCAAGGACCTATACATTCTTGAGAATATGCCTAAATATTTCATTTTCTATTGTCTTTTTTTTTTCCGGTCGGTTGTAGGGCCTGAAATCTGGGCCTGGGCGATGTTCTTCAGCCCTTCAGCTCAAGGCTAACACTCAACCACTTGAGCCACAGCACCACTTCTGGCTTTTTCTGCTTATGTGATGCTGAGGAATTGAACCCTGGTCATCATGCATGCAAGGCAATCAGTCTACCACTGAGCTACATTCCCAGCCCCTCATTTTCTATTCTTTTTTTTTTTTTTTGGTCAGTCATGGGGCTTAAACGCAGCCTGGGCACTGTCCCTCAGCTCTTCAGCTCAAGGCTAGTGCTCTACCATTTGAACCACATTGCCACTTCCAGCCTTTGCTGCTTATGTGGTGCTGAGGAATCAAACACAGGGCCTCCTGCATACAAGGCAAGCAGTCTATCACTGAGCTACCGTCCCAGACCATCTTTTGCTTTTGAGAAAAGGGTCTCCACTGTGTAGTCCAGGCTAGCCTTGAACCTAGTATGCCTCAGCCTCCTCAATGCTGGAATTTCAGGTGCACATCACTAAGCCCAGCTGCATTTTTTACCTTACTGTTCATCAGTCCCATTGTGATCCCAAAGAGATGCATAATGCCTTGATGAGAGGCTCATCTGCAGGGAAGTTCTCAGTCACTCTTAGCCTTCCTGGGGCATAGGACCATTCTTCACCTCAATGCAGCTTGCTGGTCTGCCAGGCCCTGGGGAATGAGGCCCTCTGTGCCCACCAGGGTTAGCTGGTCTCAGTGATGTCACTGCACTCAGCACACGTGACGTCATTGTGCTCCGTTCACTGGAGCTAGACAGGAGAAGCACACAGGGGAGGGTTTGCAGTCCAATGCTGTGGTCACAATCAGAGCCTTGAGGTTAGGACACTGTCCTACCAGGCTGGCATAGGCTGGTGTCCATTGCTCCCAGCCCGGTTTCTGCAGGGGAGGGAGGGTCTCACTGCTGTTTTCGCCCTTCCTGTGCACACACTACGAGAATTTGATGCACCTGTTCTTTGGGGTTGTTCAGACAAATAGCCTCACCCAGTGGCTTACATTTCCAGCTTCTATGGGGATAGGCTCTGCACTCCTCTCCTCACTTCAGGCCCAGTTATGGTTCTTGATTTTCTTGGGCTTATGGATGTATCCTCAGCCAACCCCTGCCTCTCTTCCTAAACTGTGCCCTCTGTGTACTGAGGTTCTCCAGATGGGGTGCTTAGGAGGACACTGTGGTTGGCTCTAGGACCCACCCTTAATTCAGAGTAAACTCATCATGGGATGTTGAAACACTCACCCACAGACACTACTTTCCTCTTCACCAACACTGGCTTGGGACTGGGAAATAGCTTACAGGCCATGTGCAAAGAAAACAAAATTCCCTGCCTTTTCTCCAGATTTCCACCACAGTCAACAGAAAACCTGTGGCCCTGAAAATCTGAGCATTTCTCCCCAGTAGCAAGCAAGCATTTCCTTTTTTTTTTTTTAAATCTGCGACTAGGACTTGCACTAGGTATGTGATGATTTTGCTCATTGGCCGGTGCTCTACCACCTGAGTCATACCTCCCACCCTGAGCATTTCCTCATTGAAAAGCAAACACAGCCGGCTCCGCTAATTCAGTTCACTTCTCACACTAACTTACCCTGCTGTGTATGTGAAGGTCCAGGTTGCTTGCCTGTGTTTCTGACTCTGACCCCACATGGGGCTGATCAGCTCAAAGGAATCAGGACCGGGGACAAATCCTCACAGGTTCAACATAAAGGATGGCACTGAAAAGATTTGTATGGCAAGGCCCATGGGAACTGAGTGCCTTGTCTCTACCCCCTATGCTCCACGAACTCTAACATTTTCAGCTCTCAGGAAGCTCTCCAAACACTCTATTTTTTTTTTTTTTGTTAATATACAGACTACATTGGATGGGGAAGACTGTGTCAAAGTGTGATCAAGCAGAAAAGGTGTGACAGGGTACTGACAGGGCCAGGCTGGGGGCTTAGCAGAGCCTCCACCTGCACTCTGTGGCCCTCCTGTTGGCTGAACCCTTCGTGAAACTGGCAAAGGGATGTACTGTCAGACACTGATCAGGATTCAGCTGTGATGGCTCTGAGATGGAAAAGCTGGGTGCAGTAGTTACCATGGCCGTCCTCTGAAACAAAGCTCAGGTTCTATGGCCTGCATTCCAGAGGGAGTTAATGAGCCAGAAACTGAGCACCCAGATCCACCTGTACAGTCCAGTCCCACCTGTACAGTCTTGGGTTCCCGTTAACCCATGATTTTGCCCACAGGACGTTTGTGTGTAGAGCACATGGGCAGGAAAGATGGCGCTGAGAGAGGTATTTGAGTAAGCAGAGCTCGATTTGCTTTACATTTATTGCATAACCAGACTGTGGAAGCTTAGGTGCATGATAGGGTGTGAACTTGACAGTGATTGGTTCCTTTTCCTCCCCTGCCATGCCACCTGCTCTTTTTTGCTTTAAAAAGGGCTTGCTGTGTGTTAATAAATGAGTTTTCCTGCTTGACTTGACTCTCCACTGTGTCTGATTATCTCCCAGGCAAGGGGAGATTGGGGAATAGATGAGCTGCTGCACTTACCTTTCCTCGGATCCTGTCCGACTTCAAGGAGCAGACAAAGACCCTACATCTGGCACCCAACTTGGGGCATGAAAGGAAAAGATGCCTGCCGAGGCTAAGTAGTCTCTCAGGGGAAGTGAAACTCTTAGTATGGGTAATGCTATCTCACAGAAGAAGGAGGAGGAGGCAACGTTAGGCCTTAGGGAGTAAAGGAGGATTTGGGAAGTGGGAAGGAAAAGGAATGGGTCAAATTTGACCAAGAATGCACTGAAACATGCACAGTGGAAGTCAAAACAAGGGTGAAATTTTCCCCCCTCTGACTCACGTGTCCCTGACAGTCATAGGGCCCCTCCCTATTCCCCTGATTGGAGGGGAGGTACATCACCCTACGCCACCTGTGAGAGGGACCTGCAAGACCTGGAACCCTACCAACCTTCCATGGAGGGGCCGAGGGCTGGGGAAATAACCTACTCGGAGACCTACCCTGCAAAGGAAGGGCCACCTGGGAGCCCGGACCCTAGGCCATAGGATTTGCTTCCCCAAGCATATCCGGTCAATCTGGCACCAGGAGCTAACAGGCCCTTGGAATGGTATCCATGGGAAGCTAAGGACCTTAAAGAGCGCTGCAAGGCAGTGGTGGAGGATGGCCCGAACTCTCCTTGGGCCCGGACCCTATTACAGGACATTGCTTATCACCCATGTGACCCTGAGGACTGTCTGGATGTGGCCAAAGCCATCCTCCCCAGTTCTCAGTTTATTAAATGGTGTGCTTTCTTTAAGGAGGAAAGCAGAGTGCAGTCAGAGAATAACCGGCAGGGTCAACCCAAGATACCTATTATTTATGCCATGTTAACAGAGACGCGGGAAGGGCACTCCACTGGGTCCAACAGGCCACAATACCTGGTCCGTACTGTGACCAGGCGAGGCAGGCAGGACTTGCCGCATGGTACAAACTGGATGATGGGCCTACTGAGTTCCCCAGAGCAGGAGTGAGACAAAAACCTGGTGAGCCTCTAGCTGAGTTTGTAGACTGAGTCCAATAGAGTATTAACTGCAATCTGCCAGCAGGGAACCTCCAAGATCAGTTTGTAAAGCTGCTGGTCTGGGAAGGGATGAATGCAGACCGCCGCATGGCCTGTGCAGGATTGAGAGAGAGTTCCCTGAGCAGATGGGTGGTGGCCTCGCAGGATGTGGGAATGCAGCAGCACCAGTCCCAATGACTAGCTTTAGCCTTACAGGCTCAGACATCTGCAATGACTGAGGCTATTACCCATCACCTGCAGCCCAAGGCCAAGGAACCCCAATACCATTGGGGAGAGGGACTTGTTTTAAATGCGGGCAGGAGGGGCACTTTAAGGGGGACTTACAACAAACCCCCACCAACCACCAGTGGGATGGGGGGGCAAACCGCCCCCTATGCCTTGCCCCTGGTGCACGAAGGGATACCATTGGAAAAAGGATTGTCGATCCAAGTTTGATTTAGATGGAAAGCCTTTAAACTAGGGTAGAGGCATTCTCTATCCCTGTTAACTCAAGGAGGGACCCCATCTGCTGCAAGACCCAGGCAGCCTCCTGGCAGGATGACCCAAGCCCATTGGACCATCCCCTTGATGGAGGGACTCTGCTCTATAATGAGTATTCTCATAACATAGGCGGGAAGCAGTTTCACTGCTTAATTGACACGGAGGCAGATCAAACCATACTCAGGGAGGAGGAAATGCCCTTGGACTGGAAGCTTGCACCTGGGCCCCCAATATTGGGGGTAGGGGGCAACTCCCAGTCCAAAGAGATGGTCACCCTTATGAAATGGACTAGCCCAGATGGAGAACAGGGAAAGATACGTCCTTTAGTGGCAAAGAACCTCACTGCCAATTTACTAGGGCAAAACATGCTAAGACAAATGGATGCCGTGGTCACTACAGACCATGGAGCATCCTATGATGATATCCTGGATGGGATAGAAGCACAATGGTTTAAATAAAATCTATAGGTAATTAAGGAAAAGGATTTTTTAACTTTCATAATTACAGAGAAGAACATAGGGGACCCGCTCAGGTGCACCCCCAATCCTAAAGGCCACTCCCCCACCCCTAGTACCTCCCATTAGG